CCCCACTTCCGGGCAGGCTCTCGCTCCCGGCCGGACGGACGCACGTACTACGTGCACCCTCCCCCACTTCGCCCCTCCCCTCCGCGCCCTCGCAACCCGTCCGCCCGCCCGCCCGCCCGCGTACGCGGAGATGAGCGCCCGCCACGCACGCCGTGCCTGTACCGTACAGGGTGCCAGGGCGCATCTCCGATCTGCGTCCGCAGGGTCGGCGCACCGTGTCTGCGCGGACTTTGTCGCCAGATCCGGCGCGGCGCGCGGCGCGCGGGGACGCGCGGGACGGCTGGCGAGGCGAGGCGAGGCGAGGGGCGCAGGTTGCTGCACCCCGGGGGAAGGTGCGAGAGGAGCGGACGTGTCTGGACGTGGCGGGGCACGTTCGACGACGCCCCCAGTGCCCACATATCGAGCGCGGGGCTGTTCGTGCTCTGACCCTTCCCGCCGCCGTCCTGCTGCAGCCGGCACGGTGGGGATGCGTCTCGTAGTCCGCTGTTTCCATGTACGCTCACAGAATAGATTCCGGCGGCGGCGCCGTCGACGTCCCCGACGTGTCCTGCATGTATCATCTCGAGGACCCTTCGCCGTGTCTGTGTCTGGGACACACATCCTGCTGCTAACGAGCTGGCCCAGAAGACGAGCGCACGTCGACGCGAACGCACGCTCGCCGACTCGGACGCCACGGGGAATGCAAGAGAGCCCGGGCACGACGCCCACCGCTCGATGTTCGAAGAACGCTGACGACGTTGTGCGCATGCGCGCGGAGCTGCACACGGACGCGGGGCACGCTGTACGGAGAGTTCTGCGGACAGCGCGCACACTCGCCGTGGGCACGCGATGCAGGGCCTCCCCATCCCGCTCACGAGGCAAATAGACCATCCCATCCCACCGACGGAGCGCACCCTGCGCCCGTGCACGCCCTGCCCGAATCGTCCGCGCATGGCACGCCGCGGAGAACGCCCACGACGGGGCCTGGGAGCCCCGTTCACGACAAGGCCATGAACCATCCATCTGCAGCCGCGCGCGACGTTCAGGCGGGACCGGGAGCAGTATTCCTGCCGTCTCGTGGGCCGAGGCGTGGAATGCACGTCGTGCACTAGACGATGCATCCGGGGACGTGCCATACGCTGTGCAAAAGCTCGTCGGGAACGGGGAGGCGGGGAGATGATTTGTGTCGGACAGCGTGTATTCACATGGAAGAGGTACGCGTGATCCTCTTCAAGCTCAGGTTGCGTTGCTGATGTGGTTCTGCTGTAGGTGTGAGCACTGTGTATTGCGTCCCTGACGTCTTGTATGTGCTCTGAGAATACGGGAGATGCTCCCGTAAACGACCGGCGGAATACTCACCGGCAGTGCAGTTGCATGAATACTGCGAGCTCAAACCCGAGTTCTTCATTCGCTCCTGGAAAGTGTGCTCGTGATGCGGGAGAAGACATGAGGCTCGACTCGTCGCCGCCGCGTCCTTGCACGTCTACTTAGTACACGCTGCGAGGTACGCACTCAGGCTAGCTTGCCCGAATCCCTCTGATTTCCTGCGCACCACGATCAGCTAGACTCAGTACTCGGGGTAGTTGTGACCTCGGCCAGCACTACTTCTTCGCGCTACGCCCATGGAAGTGTGTATCTCGTGGTCAAGAGATTCTGCGATTAGGCATGGCGACCCGGAGACTCACTCGACAAGTACGGCGGACGAGGGCTCACAACACGACCACGCGAGGCGAGCACGGCATGCTTTCCGCATCAGCACAAGGTCGCATGCTCTCGCAAACGCCAGCCGTCGCGTTCGCGAACGCGACGAGCTCGACTTCGTATCCGCCGAGCAGACTCGCTCGCACGTCCGCGATGTGGTCTCAACGCCCTTCAGCAGGTACGTCCAGCTAGAAGCAGTAGCATGGTCGCGCTTGTTGACACACTTGTAGTGATCTCTCCAGGAGCCTCTCCTCTGGGAGTGCGGGCCTTCGATTGCTCGTACTCGCTGCCGGTTCCCATGCACGCGCTCGCGGACCGCGGTGCTCGTTCCAAGCTACGGGGCCTCGCGACAAACTCGTACCCTACCGCGCAAACTTGCAGCGTCGATATGCACGTTCGATAATGTTTCTAGGCTGCGTCCAGGGCCGTTGGACACGTTTGGCGAGCTCCTGTCTGTAATACACCACTGTGGAGCTCTCGTACGCGCGCAGGAGTGTCTTCTCGAGACGTCGTGCACGTCTCGAGAGCCCTCCAGCAGGTACGTTCCGTCAAACATGGTGCCGTCGTGCTCGCTCACGCCCTGATGATGAACCTGTCAGACACCTCTCCTCGGCAGGCTCCAGCCCTCGGTCTCTTGTGCACGCTATACCTACTCGTGCACACGCCTGTAGATGACGGTACGAGTCCCTGTCTGCTTGCGCGCGCCGCGGATGCCGATTCCTGCGTGCAGGATCAAGTCACAGACTTGCGACGTCAACATCCGCATTCGACGACGCCTAACGCCCGCGTCCACATGCCCCGCCAAGCCCCGGGCCCCATGCTCAATGCAACAGCCCCCGCGACGCTCGCATGCGCCGCGGCGTCGTCATGATGCGGCCTCCAGCTCGTTTCGTAAGATGAAATCGGCGCGTCCCTGCAATCCGGGAGCGTCTTCGTTCGGGTGCGAGGTGCGTAAATCCCGCGTCCGTCGCGTACGCCGTTGTCTCAAGCTTACTATCCCTGTGACAGGCGTGGGGATCGTATGAAATACCCGTCGAAGCGTCTGGTTTCATCGTGCACAGACCTCAAGACTGCCCCCGCTCATGCTTGCTGCTCCTCGCAAATCCTACGTTTGTCTGGAACGTGTGGTTTAGTTTCGTGAGGCTCTTGTCTACAAGGGCGCGGCGGGCCCGAGTCCATACCATCCTGTCATAGAATCAGCTTCAATATATTTTCGAGTCGTTATGCCTGATTCTCCTCGTGTGGGAACACGAACAGCGATTGCGAGCGCGAATAAACGACTCCCGACGGATTACCGGTTGCCAGAAGAAACGATCGGACTTCTAGGTGGTGGGCGCACATCCTGACGATCTCGCGAGCTGCGGTGTGGCATTTCGCGGGTCTCTGCTCCTGTTTCAGGAGGAAACCAGCCGTGTCGCCTGAGACAACTGCTCGCGGGCGCAAGTCGCTGCCCGCGCGTCCGATCCCCGCGCATGCCTCATGCTCGCGCCAGCGGAGCTATTCAGTCCGGAGCCTCGTTGTCGAACGGAGGAATAAGATATATTGTGACTAGTATACGAGCCACGCAAACTCCGAGCCGATGCAGGAACATCACCATTTCCGTCGCGTCGCAAGCACGACCATTCGGTCGGAACCTCAGGAGAGCGGCCTCCCAATGACGGAAGATCCGCTCACTTGTGTACGTCCGGTCGTCTCCGCGTTGGTCCCTGTTTCACGGCCGTAGAGGACACGCTGCCTGCGGTTTGATGCACGTCTCGACGCTGTGCAGTGGCGGAAGTCTGTTAGAAAACAACTGAAAGGCGGGGCGGACCCTGCTTGCTGTCCCACACATCAGGGACCCGCACTTCTGAGTGATAGTACTCTTGAGAATGCACGAACTCACGAAGGGGTAGAGACAGACAAGAACGCGCGTCGCTGGGCGTGGGGCGACGTCTTGCGAAGGTGTTCTAATTGTGAGCGTCGTGCACTACCATCCAACGGGAGTTTCGAAGGCGTAGAGTTGCCGCTGTTATCAGACGATATTGCTACTCGTGTACGCGCTGTCGCGTGTGCCCAGGGGAAACCTGTGTGCCGGTCAATAACGTTATTGTCCGCCCTGAATCAGACGACGTACGACACAGTTGTCGCCGTGTTTGTGCGTTCTGGGGTTAGCAAATGGCGGTGATGTTGAACTTCTGTGTCTACGGCTGTGCCGGACCGGGAGTGGCAGTGATAGTGGCTGTGCGTCTACCATACGCCAGCATGGACTTTCCTACTTACCATATACGTACATTCTTTTGTTCTGTACTTACTTGGCATCCTGCCATCCCTCCACATGATTCTGGTACGTTCTACGATGTTCCGGACTATTCTAGACAGCGTCCGGATTACTCGCATTACTCAGCCATGGACTATCTGACCTTATGTCGATTATGCTCCCTTACTCAGCGTTACTCATCGCTCAGTCAGCGTCCTCTGGACGTCACATGCTCTCTTCTTATACGCTTACTCATCGTCCTCCCCAGTAGTATATAAGGAGGACTCTGCAGGCCTCTGCTCTTCAGTCGTTCTCTCACAGACTGAAGAGTAA